AGCGAACAAGCATTTAAGTCCAAAAGTCATTTACCATACTGGCTGTGGAATGAGTCTGACTTTGCCAATTATCCTCTAATGCCAGCAAATCTGATAAAAATTCACAAACCCCGATTGAAGATAAGATCCAGGTCTTGAGGATCTAGGCCTTGAAAACATCAACCACGCGACCTTGCACAGGATGAAGATGAACAGATCAATAGCGGTGTACTCAGAGTCCCAGACTTGGTGCATCTGCAATGTCCTTTGATGCAATCTGGGCAGGTTATCAAGGTGATACAAGCCCAGAGCCATCTCCCCTCATGAGGGGGATCTCGTGAGGGGAATATCGAGTGATATGGAATATACGTGTCTGTATATACATTTCTACTCTGACACTCCAGAGAGTCCGAGAGCTAGGAGCTATATCGGAGGCATCCACCCCTCTGTTTTTCCTCAATTTGAAAGTGGAAGATATTGAAATATCTCACTTCAGATCTGTTTACTCCAAGTGGGAAAAAAAAAAGGCGAACCCCATACGGCCCACTAATTTTACTTGAGAATAACTGGAAATGTTCCCTGCCCGCACGGAAATCCCGGTAGACATTTCGGGAATAAATGTGGCAACATTCCCGAGAAAATTATTCCCGATCTTTTCCGTGATACAGTTCGAATAATTTTTTTTGGATCTGTTGTTTTTGTTTCTTTTAAACCCTTGGAAAGCCATATGGTGTTCAATCACACAAATTGATATCAACCATGCCCTCAACAAGCTTATGCCAAGATGAGCCATGCCCTCCATACAGCCTTATGGATGACTATAGCGAAGGAGCTCACCCACAAATCCTGGAAGCTCTTTTGCGAACAAACTCTACACAGCAAGTCACCTATGGAAATGATGAATATAGCATTTGTGCCCGGCAATTGATTCGAAACAAGATTGGTTGTGACGAGGATGAGGCGGATATCTTCTTCGTTCCAAGTGGAACATCTGCAAACCTCATTTCAATCGCCAGTTGCCTCCGGCCTTACGAGGCTGTAATTACTCTGGACTCGGGTCACATTGCCTCCAAAGAGGCAGGAGCGATTGAGGCCACCGGTCACAAACTTATCCTCGTGCCTGCAGTTGACGGCAAGATGACGCCCACCAATCTCCAAAAGGCACTCCAGCAAAATCAATTCTACCCTCATATGGCCAAACCCCGCCTACTTTATATCTCTAATGCCTCCGAGACTGGCACTGTCTACACGAAACGTGAGCTGACCAGCCTCTCCGCCATTTGCAAACAATCAAATCTCCTGCTTTTCATGGACGGAGCACGAATCGGCTCAGCAATTTGCTCAAGAAAGAACGATCTCACTCTACGGGAGATCTTTGACATGACCGATATTTTCTGGATCGGTGGCACCAAAGCTGGTGCTCTGATGGGAGAAGCAATCGTCGTCAAGAAGGCGCTGGCCGATGGTTTTGTGTTCCACCTTAAACAGCATGGCGCTTTGCTGGCCAAGGGCCGGATTCTTGGGGTTCAGTTCATGGAGCTCTTCCGATCAGACCTGTTCTTCGCACTGGCTACGCATGCCAATGAGATGGCCCAGAAAATCTCAGCCAACTTCGAGGAGTTGGGTTATAGGTTGGCCGCGGACACCGAGACAAACCAGGTGTTCGTTATCCTTCCTCAAGAATTGGTTCGGAGACTGCAGGACAGATTCCGATTCTATGTTTGGGAACAGTTTGATGATGGAAACTCCGTGATTCGGCTTGTGACGTCGTGGGCCACGGATGAGCTGGAAATTGATAAGTTCAATGCCTGGGTGCAACAGTGGACAGTGGCAACCAATATTTGAAATGGTTCGCCGTCCATTGACTGTTGCCCACGGTGATTTTTCATCTCTATAGAGGCACCCACCATTAATATAATAATAAGAAGTCAACAATTATATCGAAATTCTTCATAGATCCAATCGAGTCAGCTGATCGCGCTAACCATATTCGGATACTAAGATATCCGTGTAACTCTTGCTTCTTCAGTCGTGTGTCCGACTGTTTAATTGAATCAACATAAATGCTCGAATTGGTGCAATTGCGCTCCTACGTTGATCCGATGGCCTGAGTTTGTCTTAATATGCCCCACGATAGTTCGTACTTGACAGCCACTTCTTTTTTACGGCCCACTCCGCTCTTCCCCGTATGTACACTCGATGAGACTGTCAATCTCGTGTGATGCTTGTCGGTAGGTTCGGTCGGAACACTTAGACGTATCATCTTACCTAATATTTCATTGCAGGCAAGCAAAGGTCAAATGCGTCCATGAAGGGCAACCGCCCTGTCAACGTTGCTTGAAGACCAAGAATCAAGGATGTGATTTAACAGATCCCCGCACATCGAGGCAGAGAGCCCGGAGGAATACTGTCTCATCCAAAACGCCAAGAAAGCGAAAGGCATCATCCGTCCTATCGCCAGGGATTGGAGATGCGGAAAGAAGCACCACTGAGGATGTTCCCGTGGCTCAGGACCCATCGAAGAATCCTATAACAGCATTGTCGCCGGCAATCGTCATCAGTGCAGTTGAAACCTACAGAAAAAAGTTCCCAATCACCAATTTTCTTCACTACCCCTCTTTGATTTCTGACATATCATCCAACGTCCACTCAGTGGACTCCGTCTTTGTGGCCTCGGTCCTTTCCTTGTGTGTGCGGTTTATGAACAGCGATGAACTCGAAGAAGAAGAAATATATGCCGACTATGCTCGTAAAAATCTAGCCCAGCGCGTGCTTGAGGCTCCTTCGCTTTATCTTGCCCAGTCCCTTGTAATGATCTCATTTTATGAATGGGGCACTGGGCGACCATATCAAGCTTGGATGTATAGCGGTATGTGTCAATTTCCCAACTTGTCGGGGAGCACTCGCTGACAAGCCTCAGGCATGGCGACATACATGATTCAATCCCTGCTGAAGATGGCAGATGATAGCATGGAGCACAATCCTCAAGAGTTCCATGCATCCCAAACACAATACGAACAGCTGGTCCGAACATATTGGTGCTGTTTTGCACAAGACTGCGAATTGAGCTCCGGAGCCCGTCAGCACTTTGCGCTATCATTCTCTCAGATATCGGTTCCTCTCCCTATCAGTGATCGGGACTTCACATTTAATCATACGCCCTCCAGCAGGTTGATGCCTGCTGATATGAATAAAGATTGTTCCCTGGCGAAGGGTCTTACGATTGAGCATGGCCTCACAATCGTCACCCGAGGATTCGACATTTTTGTACGGATCCTGAGGTTCGCGAATGAGCATCGACGCGCACTAGCTTCTTTGCCTTCAAGCGATTCAGCTACATCGCCACTTCTCTTGACTTGGCAAGTCCTCAAGGAGGAACTGGATGAATGGAGGTTTCTTCAGGATGTGACTGTTCGGTTCCCAGCCACCAGCGTTCAGTCGCACGTGGCACTCGGATACGGGGAGTTGTTTGCGTACATCAATCTGGTTCACTGCATGAGGTAATTACTTTTTATTTGACGGGTTTCAAGCAAAAATGCTAAATCTGTTTCTTTCAGCATTCTTTTTCTCCACCGAGACCGCTTCTTATCCAGCCTCAAGCCCCATTCCGACGTTTTCCACGACACGAATGACAACGCGCAAGGTGAACCTGATACAATTAAGCAGCTTTTTGAAGCTGCTCAACATATTGGGGGTATTCTCAATGCACTGGACGCCTCTGGTGCACCTGTCATGTCACCGTATTCTGGCTTCAGCGTCTTTGTCGCTGCTCATATCAACATGTACGGAACAATTGCACCACAGCGATATCCGGGCGGCCTCGAGCGGGCCGAAGAAGAAAAGAGTCGAAATCTTGACTACCTTGCGCGACTAAGTAAACTCTGGCCCGTTGGTCGCAGTTGGGTGAGTATTTCTAAACATCTTTAGCCGAGGATCGCAGTTAACAATGATCAGTGGCGAACGGTCCAAGAAGCAAATCGATTCTACGAAATAGTCAAGAGTAACCAAGTACACTCGGAATCTGGAATGCACAGTCCCAGGAGATTCACCCTCGCGGGTACCCTGGATGAATATGGTGATATCCGATCTCGTCCGAGCAGGGACGTGTATACGACTAGGGCACGAACCTCTGAATCCCGTGATACCCACAGTTCTCACGCCCGTGGCGGAACTTCAACATCCCCTGGTCTTGGTGGTGAACCAAGTTTTCTTGGCAGAGAAAATTCTGCGCTTGGTGGTCATCACGATTTTGAAACTGATATGTTTCAATGGCCATTCATTGATGGATCTTGGTCACTCGGGTTCGATGCGGGATTGGATGGGTTGTGGTATAACTCAGGGTTGTTTGACCCGAATCCATCTCTTAGGTGATGATGTTCTTCCTTTTTGCTTGTTTGCTGAGATATTCATCGCTTGATGAATCCTGTGACGGGTCGGCTCTTCGGCATAATATCATTACCTTTAATGCTTCCTCGCCATAGATATATATATCGTCACAATTTATTTGCTTTTTCATGCTCGGAACTCTCCAAGAGTACAGCAATCCTCTTACATCTCATTGAATAAGCATTTGAAAATTTTTGATGCAATCTGGAGAAATGCTACGATTTGCCAAGGTTTGATTTGTATATTTCAAACAGTATGCTTTTCAAAAACTCATTCATGATTTCAAGATGATCAATTCAGTCATCAACCATTCCAATGGCCGAGCAGTAACTCGTCCACATCTTCCTTGGTCTAGTGGTGATGATTTCCGCTTGTCATTAAAACCGATAAGCGCGGGAGACCGGGGTTCGATTCCCCGAGGGAGAGATTTCTTTTTTTTGCATGCGAATTTTTATTCGCTATTTTTATCGACCTGCTCCACTGGCCTCTTTTGTACGAACAAAATGGCAGAGAATATTAGGAGAAAGAGAGAACATCCGACACCATCCAGTACGTATTCCACGGGGTATGTTGTAAGTTTACTATGTTCGGATAAAATACACACTGCAGCAAATAATTCCTCTTATAGATATAATCTAAACGTTGAGGTTGAAGGCAACCTTCCTTGCGATTCTATCAAGACGCCCAGCCATGTAATTACACTTGCACTGACACGGGTCCTTCTTCAGATCCAATACTACATTGACTAAGTCGTGCTCCATGCCAACGAACACATTCTCGAACTTGTAACGACCATTATCTTCACGGCACCAAAAGGAAGTATTGCGACGAATAAGTTCACTATCTGGAGCCTCAGCAACCATACGGTGTGCAATGTCTATGATCCGATCGGCCTGAGCAGACAGCTTTACTACCGCCCGAGAGACGTCTGCGTGACGCTCCTTTCCTCGCTTATCTGGATCGTGCTGGAGAATATGAGCTTGGGCATCCAAATTGTCTCTGAATTTGCCGCACTCGTGCTGGAGCTTGTCTTGCCAGGATGAGAATACTTGAGGCATGGTTGTGATGAGGACTCAGTGATAGAATCGAGGAGATGGGGGACCTGGAGTATTTATATCAATATGGGTAATTGGCAGAGATGTCCTCGAACAAAGAAGAGAATTGAACCCGTGAAGACCATTGTTTGGCTTTTGATATGGGAATACAAAGGGCATACATGCCAACAAAGACCTAACATAGTCTCTCTTCCAAGGTTGATCGATGGGATAAAGAATATCAATTCCAAGTGGCAAATGTGCATATGCCCATGATGTTTGCAGCCGAAAAGGGAGGAAAGATATAGAGACAAAGAAAATTCATTATAGTAATTAATGATGATGGGTATCTTGTATTGAGAAAATTGAGCAGGACATCCCCGTTAAGATGTTTCCACGGTTTGTGACACAGCCACTGTCTTCCGGATGCCGTCCTGGTTATAGATCGACTCACCAGCTTCCGGGGGACCGGCGAATGAAATGAGATGGCTCTGGTCCCCAAAATTTGTCACCTTGTCCCAGTCAGTAGCAACATTCGAGGCCGGGGCCGACTTTCTGTCACTCAACGGATGGGTAGAGCCGCCGTTTTCGTAGTATTTTTGCGACGAGTAGTTCTTCTTGTAATAGGCAAACAAGACATTGAGGACAGGTAGACAGGCGCAGATCAACCCAACGCCTCCTTCGGCATTGCTATTGAGTGTTAGAAACTGTCCTTTCTTGAAAAAATTACCAAAGAGGGAGGAAACATGACATACCCGGATAAGATGACAGTAACAAACATGATGCTATCATCCTTTGAGCCTTTCACCACAACAACCAACCGGTAAAGACTGAAAGCTGTAGCCAATCCACCAGCACCAAGTATGCCAATCACACGCAGCTTTCGATTGCGCGACATTTGCAAGGACCATGTCAATGGCAGCGGGATAATGAGGATGATGAGGTCACTGACGACACTAATCACAGAGTCGGCGACGAGGGCAGCGGTTTGGTCCAGACAGGTTCCCTTCGCCTGGTCACCGAGCCAGTACCTGGGGATAGGGTTACACATGCAAATTTTGACGATCAGAGCGACGGTGTAGTAGCAGCATAAGCAGCCGAGGAAGATATAGATGAACCAGACTTTGCCGCGGTAGGGAGAGAAGATACGGGTGAGAATCGATAGGAGGGCAATTTTGACGAAGAGCGCCATCGGACAGTAGAGAATGGTGGCAATATAGCAGAACTTTTTGAACGCTATTTGCTCCTTAGGGCTGAGCTCGTTGAAGTAGTATCCTCCGCCATGTTCGCCGACTGGTAGAATATGTCAGTATGTAGTCGGTTATACGTGGGGAAGTCCAGCGCCTACCGACAATGCTGATTGCACAATAACCCATAAACAGGAGCTGCATAAAGTCAGAGTTGCCTTATAGAGATGATAGAATTCTCTTGCTCAACCTACCCAAGATATTATACATGCAACTAAGGGAATAGTCAGTCAAATTCTCAAAAGATGAACGCAAGGGACAAACTTACAATCTTCAACCCCTAGGGATTGTTTGAATCGAAACCGAACATAGAATCGTAACCCCACGAAGATAGTCACGACTGGAATACATAGATATTGTGTGACAAGATTGATAGTATGCAAGCTATCTGTTGGGTTCTCGACAGTCATGATGGTGTTGAAGTTGAGGTTCCCCCTTACAATATCGTAAAGTAGCGGGGGAATTGACAAGATAAGGAACTTCACATCGTGAAAATGAGGATTGACAAGAAGACGATCTCCAGTGGGGACCTGAAAGCCCTCTCGAACCACTGCGTACGATGTACTATGTAATACCTAGTGGCGCGGGATCCATGACGGCGATGATTGACCAAGGAGATGTGGTAGACCCCACCGGGCTCTTGTCAGTGTCTACCGGAATTTGATGGAACTAAGCGATTTCCATGAATAACGCTAGACGGCGCTATGATTATGTTTATACTCCACCAGGTTAGCCGGGCAAATAGTATCGATTCTAGCGTCTCGTATTTGTCCGATCCGGAATTTGTATCAGTTCGCCACCAACGCCGTTGTTTTACCAGATGGGTCCCAATAAACCCTATATTTGACTAGCCGAGGCACTATGGATGACAGCTTTGACAGCAACAATGTCTTTCTCAAGTTAGTGATCGTCCTTGGACCAAAAAGGGGTTGTGTGTGTGTTTTTTTTCCCTTTCTTTTCTTCTATACCATCCCGTCTGTCCGCAATAAATCATTGAATAGTAAACCGACATAGAAAAAAAAAAAGGAAGCAGAAAACATGACTATCCACTACTTGGACGGCAAACATTCCCGCCTCTTCAAACCCCTGACTATTTCCAATGGCAACATTACCCTCGAACATCGTGTCGTCCATGCACCTCTGACCCGCAACCGAGGAGAGCCATTGAACCCTACCAGCACCCCGGATCACCCCAATCGTATCTGGATACCTGGAGATGCAGTTGTGGAGTATTATTCCCAGCGTGCGACCCAAGGTGGCTTGATAATCTCGGAAGGCATCCCACCATCGCTCGAGGTAAGTAACAAAACCCAATTTAATGGCATATATGGCACTTTGCCGGTCCTGTATTGAGGACGGCTGTTTTGAAACCCCCTGCCACTCGCCTAATTATAATTCAAACTTTAATTTGAATTTTTTTTAGAGCAATGGCATGCCCGGAGTACCCGGTCTGTTCAACTCCGAACAAGCCGCAGGATGGAAACGAGTCGTGGATGCCGTTCACGCAAAAGGAGGCATTATCTTCTGCCAGCTGTGGCACGCTGGCCGTGCAACAATCCCTCAGATGACTGGATCGCCTGCCGTTTGCCCCTCGGTCTCTGTGTGGGATTCCGCGACGGAATGTTATTCGCATCCGCCCGTCGGCTCCACTGAGCCCGTGCCTTACGTCAATCATCCGCCTATCGAAATGACTGTGGATCACATCAAACGGACTATCGACGATTATTGTCTTGCCGCTAAGACTGCTATGGATATTGGCTTTGATGGCGTTGAGATCCATGGCGGAAATGGTTACCTGCCGGAACAGTTTTTGAGCTCGAACATCAACAAGCGTGAGGATGCTTACGGTGGTACCCCAGAGAAGCGCTGCCAGTTTGTGTTTGAACTGATGGAGCAGGTGGCTAAAACCATTGGTGAGCACAATCTGGCCATTCGATTGTCGCCGTTTGGTATGTTCAACCAGGCGCGCGGAGAACAGCGTATTGAGACTTGGACTCACCTGTGTGAGGGTCTGAAGAAGACTCTCCCCTCGCTGTCATATGTCAGCTTTATTGAGCCGGTATGTATTTTTTGTTTCCATTTAACGACACATTGCTAATCTGGGCAGCGTTATGAACAAATCTTTGGCGCCGAAGAAAAGGACAAGTTCCTCGAGAGCTGGGGTCTGCTGGATGTGACCCTGGATCGTTTCCGCCAGATATTTGGCTCCACTCCGTTCTTTTCCGCTGGCGGGTGGAACGATCAAAACTCTTGGGGAGTGGTGGAATCAGGTAAATACGATGGTCTGTTGTATGGTCGATACTTCACCAGCAACCCAGATCTGGTGCACAGACTGAAGGAAAAGCTTCCCATGGCTCCATATGACCGCACTCGGTTTTATGGACCATTTGAGGATAAGACCTTCCACTATACCGACTACCCTACTGTGGGTCAGTGATTGCATAGAGTGTACATAGTGTGCATAGTATACCCATATAGACGATAGAGCTATGTTGAACTTGGGATATTATCAAGCCAAACTTCAACCTTGGAACCTACGGCCAAAGAGTCTAGATCAAGGCAATCCATGGTTCAAAGGGGATTTCTTTCCAAATACATACCCATACAACATAAATGGAAGGGCTCTAGAATTTTGACGATCTCGGGGTACTCGGGGAACAAAAGCCTCTGCTCGGGCATGTAATTGCCGTTGCCGTGATTGAGATCGTCCACACCCTAACACACCCTAACACACCCTAACACACCCCACTGGAAAAAAAAAAACTCCAACAAGATAGATTCAACTGATGCCAACATAGTAGGTATCTTGTAGATCATATTGCTCTCAAACCATTCACATTGTCTAGGCTTACTCCGTACTGAACTTGACTTGATGCTTTGGGGTCCACGTTGGAAAAGATCATCCACTTCGTGTGTTCTCACAGGAGATTATTCACCAATGAGAAACAACAGCAAAGAAAGGAGAGCGATCGTGAGGGTCTCACACACAGCCCCCCTTTTTGTTACATCGCTTTCTCACTAGCCAATGCCGTACTTTTCTCTCCGTACAATACACCGTATGTATCCATCATCGATATGAGCCCCATGAATCGTCGGTAGGCGTACCCGACGCATGTGAAACGATCGAGATATTCCAATCCATTTTAGCTCTCCGTAATGCCGAAGGAAAAAGCGCGCTATTGTTGAACCCGTACTAGACCGTAATGGTGTTAGTGAGTTGGGTCAGGGGCACGAGTTGACTTCTTCGATATGAGGCCCAAGAACAGGGGTGAACAGGAAATTATATGGTGATTAAAGTCTAGATCTCAGGTTCAGAAGTGGCTGCGACGATGATTTCCTTTCGCATTATGATCACACTTATTTTTTATTCAATTTTCATACGGATTTCTCCATACATTTGGGTCAATCGCAAATCACACTGACAGGCCACTCAATCCATTGGTGGAATTCAAGTGCCAGAGACTCCCGAATTCCTGTGATGACATGTCGGTCCCAAGCAATCATAAGCCATGAGGATCTCATGAACTTCAAAAGAATACACCAATAAGCAAGCACAATCAATGAGAGTGGCTCCTTCTCCTCAAGGAGACTGATGAACTCCTCCGGCCGTCTGTAGATCCACCCAACGACAAAGGGCATCAAGATAACACCGTCCTTCCCAGCGCTTCGACACTGGTATGCTTGCTCAAACATTTCCAGCAGGTTTTCCAGTGCATCAACGTCGATCTGACACATGAAACCCCCGCCAGTATGAGTTTCGATAAAATCTTGGAGTGTTTGAATATGAGACTGATGTTCCCGGAGCTCGTCTCGTAACAACGAATTGACCCCCTGAATAGCAGGATCAGGTTGAATCTGTAAGACTCCGGTGAAGATTTGGTCATGGCTAGACGTCAAAATCGATCTCACTCCTCTCATAAGAACGAGCCATTCAGCCTTACCCGTCTCGCTGAAAACAAGGTATTCACCAGGTTTTGGACCGTGTGCGAAATAGACGAAACATATCAGCACTGTCGACATATAGATTGACTGACAGTTTTCCGAGTCGAGACTCGATAAAATTGCTGACACGGATCGAATGCCAAACGTGAAGTGATCATCTGCCTGTCTCACATACTGGTTTCGTACCTCGGGATAGAGATAGCCCAAATGCAAGGCTGCCAGCGCCAATATCAGGTGGAAGATAGACGGCGAGGCGAATCCCCATTGTGGAAGGTGAGTTTGCCAAACGCGATTGTGGTCAGTTGTTTCGTCTGCCAAAGTGCGGTAGGTTTCTGTAACAAACTGATGGAAAAGTCGTAGGTCGGCGAATGAGAGGGTGTCCTGACTCTGTGATAAAGCGCTGGGGCTTTTGCAGTGGACTTCCGTTGAGACTGTCGGCGCAGATGGCTGGCCTGTATCATGCTTGGTCTTGGGTTCCTCAGATTGGTATTTAGAGGGCTTGAATCGAAATTGTGCTTTTGAAGAATTCGAAGGGGATGGTGCTGAAGAGCATGAAGCTGATGATATACCTGAGGTCGAGAGGAAGTCGCACTCAATAGCATGATGGATGCATTTGGAGCATGCTGGCTTCTTTTCGTCACACTGTAGATGATTAGCCGGGTTTGATCAGAAATTTCGCTCGTCATCCTGTCTAAATATCTTCCAGTACAATCGAATGACCAGAGAGCACTGCTCCCTCTCTCTATATCTTTTTTAATGATAGCAGGAGTAGCTTGTGAAAGACGACAGCCCAACTCAGGGTCTTGGCACGCACTCACTTTTATTCGCCGTCTTTTACAATTTCCGCATCCCGAGCGAGATTTATGATGAGATTTCCGAGATCGGATCGCGACCTGTTTGTTTTCCATGACTAGGGCCTGTAAGCGCCGTATTCGCTTTCATCTGGTCGTTTTGAGTTCCAATTTTATGACGTAATGATTTAGAGATGGAGCACACGTGACCATAGAGTATACACCAAAAATGAGGATATAAAAAGGGATTCAAGAGAGTTAGAACATCGGAGGAAGCGGAAGGGAAAAGAAAAGAGGAAAACTTGTCAAGGCTAATTGGTTCCATATTTGCTCTTGATTTCAAACTCAAACTTGAGCTCTCCTTTTATGTCTGCCTAGAGACCCTCATGTTCAGGCAAACATCAATTCATAAAGTGATATATTCCACCAAAATCACAGAAAGAAAGCATTTAAACTAAGAAAATGGGATCCAAGAGTGAGATTCTCTATACAGAGTATAGGTTCATCAATTCCTTAATCCCCCTACTAGGCTCCAAATATGACATGCCCATGCTTCTCTCGGAAATAATGGATTAAAGGATACAATACCACTGAAAGCTGGTGCTCAAAAGCTAGCACTAAAGAAATGGAAGCGAAAAAACAAAACAAAAGAGTAGCAGGCTGCTTATATGGACTTAGCAGGCTTTTTAGTTGGGTTGTCCAAATGCATAGGGAGTACTCTGTAGTCAAAACAATCATACAAACTATACGGCAGCAGAGCCTGTGGCATAGTGGCGGTGTGCCATAATATGCAGGGAAACTCTATTTGTACACCTAAAAGAAAATTAGAGCAAAAATAGTCTTGTTCTCGCGGTGAATTTGATCAAAGACCAGGTCCCCAAGAGCACCATGAAAGAAAGAAGCACCCCTGTCTGGTCCCCGTACGAACCCCGTCTGGTCCCCGCCTAATCCCTGTCTGATTTCGCCCGTAGTAAGTTCCCATCTGGAGTGGGTCAGGAAATTCCCCTAGCCATCGTTTCTGGATTCCATCATTCACTAATGCAACCTCGTCCTGGTTGGCGAAGATACCGTGTTGGCTGAAGAGATCGATTTGGTCATAAACCCAGGTTCGGCTATTCCAACCATCATTATCAATATCGTATTTGTGCCGGTTAATCACAACGATGATCTCGTGAATCTTCCCCACCGTGAACCCGGGGTTCACACTCAAAACGAAGGTCATCTCCCCATTGGGTGGGACCGGGGTTGTTCTCTTTTGAAACAAAATATTGGCTTTGGACCCATTTTCGAGGACAGTAGTTTCGCGTTCGTAGGTTGGGTGACAATGCAACCTTACCGCCGTCAGCTTTTCCACGGATGTGGACAGAAAAAAGGTCCAACGGTTTGGACTATTGGCTCGACGGGGCTTCAGACATATGACTCGAATGCACCCGATTGGCTGGCACAAAATCTCGGAATGCTCTCCCTCAGGCTCGAACTCGAGTGGATCCCATTCGGGATTGAGAATGCTGTCTGGCTCTGTTAGGTCTTTTTGCTGGCATGTAGAGTGATAACATACCGCAGAAATAATCGGTAATCAGGATATTGAGTATTAAGTACGAAGGTAGAGTGGTATAAAGAGAAGAGTGTTTCTGAATGCCTCGACCATGACAGAGATGGCTGGAGAGATGGAAAGAGATCAATGTTGTAGAAACGAAAATGAAATGGGACATCTCGGGATAGTGTTTTGTGCTTCTATTTCCTAAACGTTCTCCTTGCCTGACTTCTCTTAATTGACTCTCTATCGTCCTATCTCCAGTATACTTAGTTTCCTTTTTCCAGTCAATTTTAAAGCTTCTTCTTTTATTCTATTCGACATTTTCTATCGAGTTCGGAGATAATTTTCTCTTGAGGAATTTCATCAGTTGACGTTTTCCTTCTAGACTCTTCTCTTGGCAGATGTTTTCTTTTTCAATAGCCCATCTTTGCTTTTTCTCAAATAAAAACTTTTTTTCAATCTCACACTTGATTTCTTTTTGCCAACTGGGCTTCATAGGCTATTGAGCTGAGATGTGGTGCTTTGCTATTAGGACTTGAAGATTGCGTAGTTGACATTGCCACACAGCTTGAGTACATGTAGTCAATGATCAAGTATCCGAAGTACATATGTACTCCGTACTCCGTACATATGTACCACATGCAGACTCGGTGGCTAACCTGCTGAGTTCCCGATTCGGCTATAAAATCGATCTATAGCATGCAATCTTACATCACAAGGCTTTCCAGTGTTACGGTGATCATTGCCTAGTCCTAACTTGGAACTGGCTTCCTCTTCAATCCTGTTGAGATCTCGCTAGTATAGAAACGCTAGAAGCTCATGTCCCTTCCCTTTGTCTTCCCTCTCACCGATGAGCTCGGAAAGTTCGGAAAACGTTGAGTAAACCCTCTTCGGAATCGTTGGGTATATGAACGGGGATTTTGATATGTAAACAAAGGAAAAATCCCATATCTGTTCTTTGTGCTTGACTTCAAGAAGCACGTGTTGCTCTGTGGAAGACGAGACATGTTATCATATATGACCTGTCTCCCCAGTTCTTTTCAGCTGGAGATCAGGCTTGGACTTCTTTTTTCTTTTCCCTCCTGCAACTTTCCTCTACATCACCTGCAATGGATCTCATTCCAAGTGCCTTTGTGGCACGTCCCTTGAAGATTGTGGTTATCGGTGCCGGGTACGTGCATACTGAACTCGAGCGGTGACAATTTCTGACGAATCGTAGTATTTCGGGCATTCAATTTGCACACGATGCGAGCACATCCTTGTCAAATGTAGATCTCAAAATCTACGACAGGAATCCTACCCTGGGGGGTACATGGTATGAAAATCGATATCCCGGGTATGTGTTTCCTATCTTAATAGACGAATTTGGTTGCTAAGGTTGGGTTATAGATGCACATGCGATGTGCCTTCCCATACCTACCAGTTCAATTGGGCGCCAAATCCATCATGGTCATCGCTTTATCCTCCAGCTCCCGAGATTCACAGATACTTAGAGGATGTTGTCGATAGGCATAATCTCCGCCGCTTCATGACCTTCAACACCAAATGTGTCTTGGCTGAATGGAACGAAGAGTCTTCTAAATGGAAAATTGTTCTTCATGACCAAATTTCCAGTGAGGAAAAGACCATCTTTGCAGATGTCTTTGTCTATGCTGTTGGGCGGTTGAACAACTACAAATTCCCCAAGATTGCTGGCCAGAAAACCTTCCGAGGAGCCCAAGTACACACCGCAAATTGGCCTGCTGATATGGCTGTCAAGGACAAGCGGGTAATTGTGATTGGAAATGGTGCAAGCGCCGTCCAATGTGTGGCAGCTTTGCAGCCAGGTGAGTCGCCACACTTTCCCCGAAGAAGCACCACGCTGACCGGGCTGCGCCCTCAAGTTGCTTCAAAAATAATCAACATTGCTCGAGGCCCAACGTGGATCCTCCCACATGCAGCGGCTGAAGATGGTACGGTTCAGCGCGAATGTGAGTATTTCATCTTACCACAAAAAGAAACGGATTAGCAACAGCAGTGCTGATTCGTAGCTAGACTCAACCGAACAGAAGCAAGCTCTCCTGGCTTCCCCTATGCGCTATTATGAGTTTTGCGTCGCATTAGAGCAGAGACTTGCCGGAAGTTTTACAGGACTCTGGAAGGGGACTAAGTCTCAAGCCAACTTTACAGCATTGGCGCGTTCATTCATGAAGTCCAAGATCACAAGCCCAGAGCTCCTAAATGCACTCTTACCAGAATTCGAAGCTGGCTGTCGTCGCTTCACGCCTGGTGGTCACTATTTGGATGCGTTGCAGAAACCTAATGCCGGGTATGTGTACGACTCAATCAGTAGGCTGACCGAAGATAGCCTTATCACTGAGTCGGGTGGGGAGTACGAGTGTGACATATTAGTATACGCCACCGGATTCGAGCCATATCAGCCACGGTTCCCAGTCATTGGCCGAGCTGGACGATCACTGAGTGAAGATTGGGATCGCGAAGGACCTTGTGAAAGTTATATGGCCGCGATGGTTGCTGAGTTCCCAAACTTCTTTGGTAAGAACATGGGTGCTTTTTGTTTTTGTTATGCTAACCAGTATGTATTCTGGACAGTCTTTAACCCCCCAATCTGCCCCGTGAATGGATCGGCAATCCCCGGAATCGCGAGAGCAAGCAATTATATGATTCGAGTCTTGTCCCGACTCCAGACCGACAAACTGCGATCTGTATCTGTGAGCCAGCGGGCTCAACGTGCATTTAACCAATGGGTTCAGTCGAGAATGCCTCACATGGTCTGGTCAGGACCATGCAAATCATGGTGTAAGTAAATCCCCACTTCTCCTAGTTCTGCTCATTGACTCATTCTTGGACGGTAAAGACAAGAACGACAATGGAAAGGTGGTTGTTCCCTGGCCTGGCACTGTTCTCCACTACTATGCGGCAACTGAAATTGTCCGCTGGGAAGACTTCGATTTAGTCTACGAGAACCCCGATGAGAAATATGCAAGTTTCGGCAATGGTGTGACTGTTGATGGATTCAAACCAAATCGTTTCCCCTGGGTTATTCCACCCACTGATGTACACAAGCTAGAAAGGAATGTGGAGCAGACTTCTGAAGACTTTGCTCCACCAAGCAACGTGTTGCATCGTGTGACAAGTCATTTTTTGCAGTCGCTAGGCGCATGGCTGTATCCTGTTCAGCCCCCAGTCAAAGGCTGAGGAATGTTACTCTGCATAACTAGCGTGTGAGGAATCCAATATGTTTCGGGTAAAGCGATCTATGTACCGGTACTTCTGTGGTAGACGAAGTTCAATAATTGATACCACCCGAGATCGTGCTACTTTTCTGAAGTTCTATAAGGCCTGCAATTGTATAACATAAATGTACCCATCGACCGCGCAGTCTAGGCCAATTAATATCGTGGTGGATCTACGGGGGATCCTCGCGGTAATTCATCGGCTATGGGCTCCCCACGCTTGTGGTTTTCGGCAGATTCACTTGGATTATTAATGAGCTTCTTTTGACTCACCTGGCTAATAACAACATGAAGAACCGTTTCTGCTTCTCGAATCGTTTCAATATCCATATTTGTGTTAACACACTTGGTGAGTTCTCCGCCCTAAGGCCTTGGGATTTGACGTGTTCAATGTGAATCAACCAGATACATAAATTATTGTAACTAATTTTTTTTCATACTAGAACTCTCATAAATAAAGAAAAACAAATCTCACAATGGCCGACAATAAGATGGAATACGTCCGGTACAGACCTCCCGTGGAACATATTTTACGGAAGATGCTGATAACAAATTGACAGCCTTGGAAACTCGGGTCTAAAGATCTCCAAAATCATCCTTGGAACAATGGGCTTTGGCAGCAAGCAATGGCAAGACTGGGTCCTTGACGAGGAAGATTCACTGCCGCTGATTGAGCATGCTTACAAGCAGGGCATCAACACTTGGGACACGGTAAATGAAAATATCGCAATGTTTTTATAAACAATGAAAAAGATACTAACATTTGATTTGTAGGCGGACGTCTACTCCCACGGCAAATCCGAAGAAGTCGTCGGAAAAGCACTGAAGAAATACAATATCCCTCGCAACCGCGTGGTAATCCTAACCAAGTGTTTCTTCGGCGTCGACGACGAGGGCAAGTTCCCACCCATCGCCGCATCTGCCACAAATGATGGGCCCTTTGTCAACCGCACTGGCTTGTCGCGCAAGCATATCTTCGATGCCGTCGATGCCAGCGTGGAGCGCCTTGGCACATACATCGATGTGCTGCAGATCCACCGTCTAGACCGGGATACTCCCCGCGAGGAAATTATGAAGGCATTGAACGACGTTGTTGAGAGCGGGAAGGTGCGGTACATTGGTGCCAGTTCGGTATGTCCATATCTCCTTCCTTATTCCTCTTCATCTCCATACTAACTCACGACCAGATGGCGGCTTGGGAATTCCAATCCCTGCAGAACATTGCCGAGCGCAACGGCTGGCACAAATTTATCTGCATGCAAAACTTCCACAATCTTCTCTTCCGTGAAGAAGAGCGGGAGATGATTCCTTACTGCCAAGATGCTGGAGTCGGCATTATCCCGTGGTCACCGATTGCCCGTGGCGCGCTGGCGCGACCCTGGGGCTCGCGCGAGACGGTGCGTGAAAACAGCGACGGCGCGCTGAAGATGTTTGTCCGTAGTCGCGAGTCGGAGGCTGATAAGGCTATCATTGACCGGGTTGAGGAACTCGCTAAGAAGAAGGGTGTGAGCATGGCTCAAATTGCTATCGCTTGGTCTTTGACTCACCCCGGCGAGAATCCGATTGTTGGACTGCATAGCGTTAAGCGGATCGATGAGGCTGTTGCTGCTATTAAGGTCCAGCTGTCCGCGGAGGAGATTGAGTATCTGGAGGAGCCTTATATTCCCAAGGCTGTCACTGCTCTTGAGCGGTGAGAAGTTGAGAGTAGCATACACACAAATCATGATATAAGGGCAGTGAATGGTACTTGGATATCTAATCAATGGGGCACTAGACAGCCAAACTTCCTAGTGTCCTACAGTTTTTTTATAGTATAGGAGTGTGTACTCCGAGGAGAGACATACGCTTGTATTACAAAGTATACATGTCAGATCCAGCCGAAGGTTATATTCTAGGTCTCTTGCTTATGGAAATATGCACTCGTTGACTGATGTCCCAGCACTTCTCCGAAGTAGCGTAAGAAATGTTTGGGGCATATTAATCATAACATATTGACACCATCACTTAATTATGTAGCTCCGAAAATAGGGGTTTTTCCACTGGAGTTCCACTTTTCAATGGCTTAATCTTTGGCATTTCGAATGTTCAGCCGTGCATACTCCGTACATTCTCGACAAATCACCCTCTACGGAATACGAAGTATCCACCTCATAAATCCGTCATCACATTAAAAAACGCCAATCTTCATCACGTTTACGGACAAGCGCAATGCAATCCAATATATCTCGCAGGCTATCACTTTGACGAACGCCAAATCGATCGAAATCGCAGTCAAGCATGTAGATCAGCGGCCAAAAGAGGATGATCTCTCCCCAATTTTCTCTAGCTCATGAGAGGAATATAGATGGACTCCTATTTCTGAGTCTTTGGTTTCATTTAGCTTTCGGCTGGCCCGCAATCAATTGACATAGCTATATATTCCAGGGGGACAACACTTACCCTCATGATGACCTGGTGCTCGTATTTTGTTGAAAGCCGATACTCCCCACCGTGGATTTAGTATCTCCATCTCCGTTCTCCGCCGCCATGCGTTCTTTCACTGCCCTGATCCAAGGCCTGGCCCTCGCCAGCTCCGCCTATGCGGTTGACCCTGCTGCTGTCTACAGCGGCGGCTACAACTCATCCAGCGAAGTCCTTCTTCGTATCGGCAACGGCGGCGCCGGACAAAGCGGACTGATTGGCGGTACGTTCAACCAGGCGAGACTGTCCCACCTCTAGCGTCCCAGATATCTAAAGCTACACCCCAAGTAGCAAGGCCCAATATTATGTGACAAAAATTAACAAATACAACAGTACTTGCGGATGCCTTCATTCAATCTAGCGTCCACAACGGCTCAACCCCGTTCAAAGTAGCCTGGTACAAAAGCGACACCACCGAATCAATTAATTTTCTGAAATCCAACACCATCGACCTCGGTATCACCTACGCCCCCGCCGCCGAGCAAATAGCCATAAGCCAAGCCATCGCCAAGTCGCCAGCCTGGTACGCCTGGCGCGACCATTTCCTCCTAACCGGCCCCCGCTCCAACCCAGCAAAGCTGTCCAAAGCGGCCGACATCAAAACAATGTTCTCACAGATCTTTTCGGCCGCGGAAGCCGGCACCTCCTCGCCGCCCGTGCGCTTCCTCTCGCGCTATGACAAGTCCGCCACAAACATCAAGGACTCGCAGCTGTGGATCGATATTGGACAGGTACCTTGGGCGACCGCGTACTCGACTTGGTACCATCAGTACATTGCGTACCCGATCCAGGCGCTGACGGCGGCGATTTTGTTGGATGAGTATACCATTACGGATCGAGGGACGTTCTTGTCGATTGATGCTGAGTTGCGGAATCAGACGACTGTTTATAAGGCGGCGACAGATGCCCCGGAGGATCCGTTGCTTAATCCGGCTCATATGCTTGTTGGGCGTGGAGCGAAAAATGAGAGAATGGCGGATCGGTTCGCGCAGTGGGTTATTGGCGTTGAGGGGCAGAGGGCTATTATTGGATTTAAGAAGGATGGGCAGCAGCTTTACACGGCTGCGCCGGCTAATAAGACTGCACTGTTTTAGGTCGTCAAGGGGATGATAGATTGTGGGTGCGGATGGTTGAATCCACTGGGTGAGTTAAATGTACGTAAAATATATGGCTCTAAGATTACTGAGTTGTTTTGTATCGAAAAGATAATTGATAGAATCAGAAAGCTCGTGGCATTGACTGGAGGTGATGGGGTATTTTATTCATAGGTAGCGTGATGGATATATGGATAGCAATGTACATGAATGAGATACAAGCATACACATTTTGAGTTTGGGCCCCCAGGACATGAAGATGAAGAGATAGTGAGAAGAGATTGGTATGAAAAAAAGACCGGAAGCCAAATGCAAAGGATGCAATATGCTAGTTGGAATGAGACAGAGGAGAGGAAGGAAAGGAACATTGGCAAGGATTGGTACCAGACGAATCGCAGTGCAACGTGTGAACGCCCAACTTGTACGCTAGATGCAATGGGACTCAAAAAGTGATATGATGATGCCTACACGTGGACTAGCCACGGGCATGATGTAGGGTTGTACAATGGAAATTGCAAGGTCAATGAGGATCGTGTTTTCGGTGAAAAATGCCAAAGAAAGTACTGAGGCGGTGGCGAATTTTGCCCCTAGGGGTCGAGTCGACAGCTTCGGGAAGTGAGGAATCTATCTTCTTCTTGCCAGTGTTGGGCTGTGTGATGCGGATATTCGAGAGGTCTCGATCCGGCCCCGGGTTTGTTTTGATGTCTCTTTCTGGCTGGGCTTTTGCAGGAGACTTGGGTTGAGCCTGAGTAATTCGAGATGAACCTTCCATCTCAGCGGAATGTTGGCGAGGAGAAGGAGGACGGGAGACAACGATATCGCGGCCATTCTCGCCCAAGGTAGTGAACATGCTGTGTCGGTTCAGACGAGTGCTAAGCCCAGAAGCGGATCGCCGCTTCGCTCGATCCATGAAGGCAGCACCGGTGGAGTTGGAGCGTTTGGATAAGTTGCCGAATTGAGTTCCGTCAACGGTTGGGGTGGTGGAACGGCGGATATTGGAAATCGACAAGCAGCGTTTGCTGTCTTCGTCCATCTTCGGAAAGGAGTCGGTTTCATTCTTGGCGGTCGTTGGAGATGCATTTTTCCCAGAGGTTGGAGACGTGATCGACTTCGTACCGGACGAAGACACCAGGTCGCCGTAGCGGAAATTGTCTGACCACCCCTCACGGAAGGCGACCCAGATGCCGGTGATGACAATCAAGGTTCGCATTCCATCATCAAGAGTGACCAAGCTTCCATCGAGGGTAGTCTCTGCATCCGAGGCATCACTTACGACTGACATTCCTGAGCTTGGGGTCATGGGATCAGTGCCGGAGGACCGAACAGTCGTGGAATATTCATCGTTGACTTCTAACTGGTTTCGAGTCATGGACGCGAGGACGGGATGCCGGCGGGTGGTAGGATCGATGACACTGAAAGTGAAGCGTTTGCCGTCCTCGCGTGTTTGTGTCCCAGTGGGCGTACTCATCCGACGACTCTTTCCACTGCGCAAAGCCCACCGCACAATTTGCACGCCGCTATCTGTCTGAGCGACAAATTCGTAAGTCCCACTTGGGAGAGGCGAAGCCTCCCAGATGGGTCCAAAGTTCATGCATATCTCCGCCTTTCCTTTCAGTCGAGCATCGTCTTGATACTTTTGACATATCGTGGCGACTACCTCGCGGTGATCTTCGTCCTCATCCTCCGAGCTGACGCGCTTTTCAGAAATGCTGCCCACCGTCCGGTCGTATTGTTCGCTCAACACCACAATCAGGTCGTATGGACCCAGTCCATTTCTGGTTCGATAAATGGCCGGAAACTTGCGAGCCAATAGAGGTAGATAAGACGTCGATGGTAAGATATCAACCACCGGCAGCGGTCGAGGGGTTTGCGAAACTTGTTGTAGCTGCAGGAGGAGCTTCGGACGGAATCTAAACCGCTTGTGGCGAGCATGAGCGGCAGGATGGGCGAACTGATATGATGTTTTTGGTCGGGGCTTCCGACCTGTGCTTGAACGGGTGACTCGGGGCCTAGCGACAACAGGAGCTGATTCTTTGGAGGCACCCGAGTCCGAAGCCGACTCAATCGGACTCATCACCATTGCAGACACAAGCCCCGGACGATCAGTACCATCAGAGAGCCTGGGACTGTAGAGGGAATTCAACAATGGTAAAGCAGACAGCAAGAAGGTGGGCGAGTAGGCAGTGCACGTAGAAGGCTGGGATTCTGGTTGGTTACTAGGTTCATTTAGTTCATTTGCAGCTACTGCGGCATCCGCTGTGAAGCCAAAATTCAACAGCATTCTTGGGCCCTAGCGGAGCCACATTGGAGTTGAAGAACCAAATCTTGGAATTTCATCCAGATCCGATGTAGTCATAAATGGCCCGTATTCAAACGCGTCAGCTGCGGGGATATATTCAGCCCCGGATGTGTGGGGACGATTGACAGCAGTCAAAGATGCAAGTGTTTTTACATTCACTTGCAAGAAAGAAAGAGAAGATGCAAGGGGGGGAGAAGATTGAAAGAGATGGATGTTTTACAGCAGGCGCAATAAAGGGCCTTACGTGAATGAGGCGGTCAGCCTTATAGAACTATGTAAGAAAAAAAAAAAAAAAAAAAAAAAAGTAATAGTAATCAAAAATGTGATAGTGGAACCTGTATATGCTAGTTATACACCGCGGAGTACGGAGTAGATGAGAATATGTTAAACCTAGAAAACAAGTAAAATCAACAGTCGAATATTGATATTTGTTTATGCAGACTTTATGCCTTGTCAGCGGGTCGGTCATAGCCTCCGATACATCCGAATTCCGTGACGATCATAGGAAGCTGTAAAAGGATTTTACCCAATACGTGAATGTCCGAGGTTTATTGTGTGAGCCCATATAGTGTGGCACGAGAGTATCCATATCGATAGTGAGAGTGGGACTGTCACGTTCAAAAGCAGAATTTTATGATGAGATAATTCGAGGGATTTTCCAAGGTTGTATGTGTCTACTGCGTAGAGAACCGGATGAAATGATGTACCGAGATCTACACCGTCATCTCCGAGCTCACTTGATCAAAGCCTTGGATATAGTGGAAATTCTTGAACGGTTATACGAGACAGTACAGCTACTCCGTAAGATTTTAGGAAGATCTCTTAGTGTCGATCTTCAGCAAGACACACAGTTCCTGACTCATTAAGCCAATGATCTTTGATGAAAATTCCAATCTCGAATTTCTTTTGAGAATCGGCCTCGGGAGCTACCTAGGCTGGGATCCGGGTCTATGAATGACTAATTATGCAAATTTTATGCCAAGCCTTTCGCCTCCCTTGAAACCTTGGGCTACCTCGGCAGACCGACCACAGATCGGGCCATGAGGTAGACATCCCGACGTCTAGACCGCTCAATCTCATTAGGCATCCTAATTGGGAAAACTCCCGAGGTTTCATATCGTCTTGGAGGTAAAGGTCCTAGAAAACCTCTCATGGCTCCAGTCCAACCAGTCCAACCGGTTCAACCAGTTCAACCAGCCCAGCCGGTTCAACTTCAATCTACCAGGCCACCGCCATTGTTTGCCAAACTACTGCGATTGGACAACCCAATCCGAAGTTTGACCCTGGCATTTTGGTCATGGAAGGTCTTATTGTACATTATCGTTGCCGTCTGTCCAGGATTAGGCTATGATACATCCACCTCCTTGATCTCATATGCTGCAGACTCATCGATTGTTGCTCGATCAGAGTCTCTCTCGGGACCTCTTAAATTTGCCAGATGGGACAGTATCTACTACCTAGATATTGCTGAAAAGGGATATCTATTTGAGCAAGAATGGGCCTTTGGCTGGGGCTACACTAAGCTTCTATCTTTTGTTGTGTCCGGTACAGAATTCCCTCTATTGCTCTATTCAGATTGAGTATCTCATTCTAATTCATATCGTGAACAGGTATTCGCCTCACTGGCGGAGATGTTGGACCCGCGAGTACCGCAATGGTGGGGGTGGTTCTTTCCCACGTTGCCCATTATTTGTCCGTTCTGGCGCTTTATCGTCTGTCAGCCAATATCTTTGGTCATGCCACTGCCACCCAACATCTCATTTGCTTCCTATCTGCAGCTCTTCACATCATTTCTCCAGCGGGTGCTTTTCTGTCCGCACCCTATGGAGAGTCGATAGTCTCTTTTCTCAACTTCACCGGCTATTATCTTTATTCATCGTCTCTCATTGCCGAGCGTAATGGGGCAACGCGTCTACGAGATATTCGGGTTCTCACCTCCGCGGTCCTGTTCGCGGCTGCCACCATGGTCCGCAGTAACGGGGTCCTCAGCGGGTTCTTGTTTGCCTATGATGCGGTAATCTTGGCTTGGAAGATCTTGACTAAAGGGCCGACGCTGCACACCACTGTTCGTCTTACAGTGATCATTGTTGGTGGCTGTATCGTAGCGTCTGGGATGGTCATTCCTCAAATCCTGGCCTATCGTATGTACTGCCCGTCCGAGGGCGATCTTCGGCCATGGTGCGAGTGGACTTTGCCTAGCATCTACGGCTGGGTTCAAAGTCATTATTGGTAAGTATTGCTTTATATTGGAACATCGCTGTCTTTGCGCTTACTGATTGCAATAGGAATGTTGGGTTCTTGGGATATTGGACCGTCTCCAATATACCACTTTTCCTGTTGGCGGCGCCCATGTTGGCCATTCTATGCCAATCCGCCTTGTGGGCAATAAACAGTCCATCTTCCTCCTCAACGAGCCCGGGGTCAATGCTCGTTCGACTGGCGGTTCCTCAGGGTTTGCTGGCTCTCATGGCGTTAACCAGCTACCATGTCCAGATCATCAACCGCATCTCGTCGGGGTATCCCACGTGGTACTGGTATTTAGTCACCAGTGCTGTAGATCTCAGTTTGAGCTCACCCAAGCAAAGCCGCACACTTGTGGCTGCTGTGTATAGCATGGTGGCCTATGCGTTGATCCAGGGGGTTCTATTCGGTTCTTTCCTGCCCCCAGCGTGAAAGAGAATAAGGAGCGATTACCTCATTTGATGATTTTTTGAGTCAACCTTCTGTGTATATTGATATGTGATTCTAAATAAGACATGGTCTAGCCGTGAGTGGCTAAAAATGCGGCTATCCCAAATTGGTTGGGCGATACGCGTGCGTAAGGCTGTCTGCCTAAGTCGGGGTAGAAGATGCAGTCACCCACCGAACGATTATAAAATTTGGAAGAGAAGAAGGAAAGAAACACAATTTCACATATAGCTTTCTTAAATCGTCAAAAGCAACTCCTGATATATTACTCTGCATCTTTCCTCGCGGGTCCTTCTGCAGGGGCCAAGCTTCAGTTCGTTACGGAATTATGTCATCACAACCTCGACTCTCTCCCCTTTGACCTCTTGACCTTCAACATCTAGGCATTTCAAGAAGAAAAGAAGAAAAGAAGAAAAGAAGGCAGAAAGCCTGAACTGCTCAATTACCAAACTGAATACGAGCCTATCATATTCCCTCTCGCTTGCCGAGAAAAAAAAAGAACCCCATGCGAACACAGCCGTGTGAAATACAATCTTCGGTTTCAAACTCCGCGCTGGTTAGAGTGGGAGCTTCAGAGTTTGATTAAAAGTACGATCTCCTTCGAATATTGTTCTATGATCGATCCTGCGCAGGTAATAGGATACCCTCGTGAAACATCAGCGTTGCTGACGTATTGCTGCCAGAGCTCACCTAACGGTAACAGCTAGTCCCTCACCTCATCTCCATCTCGTGTCGACCACTCCTTTCCCTACCTCTCATCCAACAATGGAAGCCTCCGGCCCCAAGGCAATTCTCACATCCGACAATTTCCATCATGCACAAGAGCTCTCCCGGGCGACCTCACCCGGTGGGGAACCCATTGCCGTGAATGGCGAAGGGGAACCGATAGCCCGCGTGCGGCCTCGTACCTATCCATACTTCAAATATCTCCCATATGAGCTCGAGGATGAGACTGAGCGGAATCAGAATCTGCGAGAGATCTTGAACCAGCTCTATATTGCAGTGGAGGCCGGCGACTTCAACCCCGGAGCCGTGCACTGGACACGCGAGCTGCGCGCATGGCTGTCGCTCAAGTTCGACCCGACAAGGGCGCAGCGCATCAGCCTAGTAAAACTGTATTTTGAGCTTGCACTTGCTCCTGGCATTGATCCATCGGTCGCCGAGCGTTTTGCGAGCATGTTCATGCTTCTCACCAAGCGCAAGCACTATCTAAAACCAGTCAAAGACCTCGTGTTAGATTGGAAACCTCTATACAAGGAGCTCAAGGCTTTTGTTCTCCCCACAGAGTCCGGCCTTGTTCACTCGACCAACCTGAAGCGCAATGTAAAGACCCTGACCAAGCTTTGCGCCTTCGCTCAGTTGTTTATTGACCCATGCGAACTTCCCGCTATGCTCGAAGAATTCTTGCCTCATTATACTACATCATTTTCAGAAGGTGCCTTCGTTGTCGCCGGGCTCATTAATTTGCTGCTTCCGACGTCCCCAGCCCCCGAATCGCGAGCCGATCTCCTACCGCAGACCCAACTGCCTACACATTTCCATTTGTGGTCATTGGTCGGTCGGTCAAAAACTTTCGACACTACATATTTAGACTATTTTTCCCGACTGGCCCGAGATTCGCTACCGGCTGCTCACATTCCATTCTCCGAGCATGGTATCTTCACAAAGGAACAGTCTGCTCTCATTTTCACCGCGATATTGAGGCTGTTGGAAATCCCCGTCGGGCAATCCACTTCCCCGTACAGTGCTCTGGTGGATATCTCGTCGGGTCTGGGTATCATGCTTGACCGAGATGGGCGGAAGCACCCAGTTGCTCACCATATTGCTCGGTGGATTGTAATGTCGCTTTCCCCCGCTTGTGTGGACTCCGAGGTTTCAGTTCTCACACAGCTGGAAGGTCTTATCCAGGCTGTTGAGACATTCTTCCATCCTTCAAACTCGGGCCATTGGACCAAGACCCTGTCACAACTGGTTTATTATCTCACTGATTTCTTCGTCATGCGTTGGAATCGCGAACAAAGCGGCGAGATGGATATCCCACCCGAGCGACGATTGAATGAGCCTCTGAAGCGGCGATTCGTCTTGTGCATACGTGACGTAATCTTCATGGGCATATACGCTAAGAGCAGCACTGCAATGACCTTCTCCTTATCGACCTTGCAAGGTCTGGCCTACCTGGAGCCGCATCTCATCCTACCTGGGGCTTTGCAGAGAATCTACCCTGCGCTGCAAGGTCTTGTCGAGGTGCACCGAACTGCGTCCTCTCTTCGGGCTATGACATCGCTGTCCCGTGT